GGCCCTAGTGTGATTTTTTTTTTTTTTTTTTTAAAGACTAACTCTAGGGACTGCCAGGTGGTGTGGTGGTTAAGGGCACTGGACTCCCACATGGCAACCACGGTTCAACTCCTGGACCTGGTGGCTCGCTTTCTCACATTCTCTCTCACTCACTCTGTCCTTCTCTGGTCAAACTGAGTGAATAAATAAAGTTAAATAAAGTAATTCTTTAAAAAAAAAAACTAGCTCTATTTCAGGAATCTACTTCTAAATTTGAGGAAGCACCTCTTGGGTTCCATCTCCTTGCCTTTTGTTTGCCCGGACAGCCCGGGCAGTGAAAGGGCTCTTAGTGAAGTGGCCTGGCAAGCTGGGAGGCCCTGCAGGCAGTGGGAATCTCTCCGCGTTCCCTGCTTTCCGACCTTGGCTTTGGCACTGAGCGGGGAAGACAAGAGAAGGAAGAAAAGGCTGCCACCCACTTTCTCTCCTCTGCTTCTCCTCGCAGCCGGCACCTGGCCTCTGGCAACTCTGGCTGACAGGCCCCCTGAGAACTACCTCCCTGGGAGTCCCCCATCCCCAGCCCCAGCCTTTGTCCACACTGAGAGCACAACTTGGGGAGCACCTGTGCTGCCTCTCGTCTTGGCTTTCTAGATGTCGGGGCGCAGACAGCCCTTCTGGGGAGATGTTGCCTTGGAGGCACCAGGATGCCACAGAACATGCTGCTTTATGAGGAGGGGGCGTTTAAGGAAGGTGCGAGTTAAAGGAAAGAAAGTCGAAGGAACAAAAGCGCCTTCCCAGGAGGGGGGAGGGAGCTCTCTGTAGGCTTGCCTGGCTGGGGCAGGGTGCCATTCACACTGACCCGCTGGGGAAGAGGGGAATAAAAGGCTTGTCAGTGCGGCTTCTGTTCAACCGGGAACTCTGGCCTGCCTCAGTTTACCTGCAGAAATGTTTTTAAGACACATTCCTGTCCTTCCTGTTTGCAGCGCACCCTCGTTCCTGATTTCCCTTTCTGCTGATGAGTTGGGGGTCACTCTGCTAAAGGGGCCCTTGTTTAGCTTTGAGGGAACCCTGAGGACTCGTGGCCTCTAGTGAAGCACTTTGAGAGGTGCTGGCATCTCGTGACTCTGCCTTCAGGCTGTGACCTACGGGTCAAGACCAGCATCATTCCTGTTCCCCTTTCCTGCATTCTTCTTCTTCTTTTTTTTTTTTTTAAAGAATTCTTTTGAGGGCTGACGGGTGGCATGGTGGTTAAGGACACTGGACTCCTACGTGGCCGACTGCGGTTCAAGTCCCCGACCTAGCAGCTTGCTTTCTCACTTTCTCTCTCTCTCTCTTGCTTTCACTCTGTTTCTCACTGGTCAAATTAAAATAAGTAAATAAATAAATAAAAGTTAAAGAAAATAATTATTTTTAAAAAAGAAAGAATTATTTTGGGGTCGGCAGGTGGCATGGTGGTTGAGGCTCTGAATTCCCACATGGCTTGACCATGGTTAAATCCTAGACTTGGTGGCTTGTTTTTTCACTTTCCTTCTCTCTGCGATCAGATTTTAAAAAAGAAAAATAGATAAATAGATGATGTTACATAGAGTAATTCTAAAAAAAAAATATTTATTTAATTTTATTATTATTATTATCATTATTTCGTTTGACCAGAGAGAGAAAAAGAGAAGGAAAGAGAGAAAGCAAGCTGCCGGATCTAGGACTTGAACCATAGTCTGTCATGTGGGAGTCCAGCACCTTAACTACCATGCTATCTGCCAGCCCCCACTTTCTGCACTCTGCATTGTTAGCTTTGTCCTGGTGGGAAGACTTTCTGGGCCTAGATCCCTGGGAATGGGAAACTCAGTGAAATCTGTGTTAGGCGAGAAGAGCACAGCGCAGGGCAGGCGTGCAGTACCCTCAGGTGTGGGTGTCTGCAGGGTGTGGGAGACACTTAGAACTCTGGGAACTCCAGAGGTGGCTTAGCCTCTGCCTCTGTGGGTGCCAGGGAGATTTATTTTTATACTTTTTTGGATTTTTTTTAAAACCAGGTAGATACAAAAGAAAAATGAATACATTCCTCCTCCCACCCCCCCAGATTCCCAAAGGAAAACAAACGTCATAACTGAGAAATGTGTTTGAAATGTCGAAAGTACTCGAATTCCACTAAGTTGTGTAAATTGTGAATCAGGAGGGAGGGTTTTGTTTGTTCTTTGATGGCGTGAAAATCATGAACTCTTTCATCAAGATGAAAAATAAAAAGGTAGCATTACCCCCATCGTTCGTCATGGCATGCCTCTGTCACGCAGGTCTAAATTTCAGGGAGAAGAGAATGAAACAGTCCTTGAATGTGAGGCATTTATGCTTCTGAGTCAGAAAGATGCTTTGTCACAAGAAAGCATAAGATAAATGGGAAAAAAAAATCCCTATGTATCTCCTTTAAAAAAAAAAAAGCCTTTAAAATGAGCTCCAAAGGGCCAGCAGATGACATGATGCTTAAAGCACTGGACTTCCACATGACTGACCATGGTTCAAGTCCCAGACCTGGCAGCTTGCTTTCTCACTTTCTCCCTCTCTCTTTCTCTTTCTCTATCTCTCTGGTGAGCGTACATACCCTGTAACAAATTTAAAAGTAATAATAATAAGCAAAATTAAGTTAATAATTCTTTTAAAAAATAAATAAAAAATAAAAAGAGCTCCAAAGTTGTTGCCCAGAAATATTTTAGAAGAGACTAATAAGTCCAGAGGAGTATTTTTCTTGTCTTAATTTTTATGATTAAAGGACAGAATTTTTTTATTTTCAAATTCAACATTTCAGAAGTATAAATTATAAACTGTAGAATTCTATATGCATACCTTCATCAGTTCGGGATATGTTTCTTCAGTATTTTTAAAAATCTGCATATATTGGGACCAGCAGGTGGCATGGTGGTTAGGTGCTGGACACTCCCACATGGTCAACAGTGGTTCGAGTCCCAGACTTGGTGGTTTACTTTCTCATTTTCTCTCTCTCTATATAACTCTCTCTGGTAAAATTAAAATAAATAATTCTTTACAAAAAACCCTGCATATACCAATATTATTATTTTTCTTTTTTTTTGGGGGGGGGAGGGGGAGAGGTTTTTGCTATAGAGCGCGTGCACTCGCCGGAAAGACAGAGGGAGACAGAGCAAGAGAAAGCGAGAAATCACCCCCCAGGGGAGATGGCCATGCCGCAATCCCTTCTCCTCCATTCTCCTCTCGGGATTGTGGGCACGCATGCTCATGCACCCGGTGTGAGTTTTATGCCACCGGGTCCAGGACTTGAACCATGGTCGACTACATGGGAGTCCATCGACATAGCCATTATGCTAACTACTGGTCCTGTTATTTTTCTCTTTTAAACCATTTTACTTAATGTATCTCTTACATCTTTTTTTTTTTTACTTTTTTTACTTAATGTATCCCTTACATCTCTTCTTGTCAGTATTTGAAATCTGCCTTATTATTCCATATTATTCTATAATATAAATATACCATAATTTATTCAGCCATTTTCCTACTAATAGACTTTATGGTTGACCTCCAATTTTTCTAACTTACGAATGCTGCCAAACTGAACATACCTGCACATGTATTTTTTTTTTAATTTTTTTTTTTTCTTAGAGAGGTTTTTGCTATAGGGCGCGTGTGCTCGCCAGACAGACAGAGAGAGACAGAGAGACAGAAAGCGAGAAATCACCCCCCAGGGAGGATGGTCACGCTGCAATCCCTTCTCCTCCATCCTCCTCTCGGGATCCTGGGCACGCATGTACATGCGCCCAGCGTGAGTTTTAAGCCACCGGGTCCAGTACTCGAACCACGGTCGACTACATGGGAGTTCAGTGACATAGCCATTACCCTAACTGCTGGTCCCCTTGTACATGTATTTCTGTAAAATAACTTCTGTAAGTACAATTTCTGGGCTAGGATCAGCTTGTTTTAAAGTTTAATATACACTGTTAAGTGGTCCTTCTAAAAGGTTATGTTCATTTTTTTTTTTTTTTTGGGGGGTTTTTCCATAGGACACAATGGCCTGCGCTCGCCAGACAGACAGTGACAGACAAAGAGACAGAAAGTGAGAAATCACCCCCCAGGAGGGATGGCCATGCCGCAGTCCCTTCTCCTTCATTCTCCTCTCAGGATCTTGGGCACGCACGCACACGCGCCCGATGTGAGTTTTATGCCACCAGGTCCGGGACGTGAACTGCGGTCGACTACGTGGGAGTCCAGCAACATAGCCATTACGCTAACTGCTGGTCCCTAAAAGGTTATATTCTGATACAGTTCCACCAGCATGTGTGAGAGTGCCTTTTTTCCGTATCTCCTCCTATTCTGTATTGGTCTTTTAAACATTAGCCAGCATGATCTGGCAAAAGATGATATACTATGGGCTTTTCGTTCTGTTTTTATTTATGTATTTATTTGCTATAGGGTACCTGTGCTCCTCAGAGGGAGACAGAGAGAGAGGGAAAGTGAGAAATCACCCCTCAGAGGGGATGGCCACCTCAGAATCCCTTCTCTTCTATCCTCCTTTCAGG